AACTGCTGAAGCTGAGCTCATTTGCAATCTAAATGCATGTGTACGGTGGTACTCAGAACACTGCATTAATTTGTATATGAACGAAAGGTATGTTATTTTATTCATCTTCAAATTGTTTATAAATTGTGCACCCTTATATAATGCCTCCTATGGCTATGGTGTCGCTGCCCTTTACCCTACGTATTAAGGCTTTGGCCCCACAGTAAGGACTGGGGAGAAACACCTGGACCGGGGCGGGTAGTGTCCCTCCTGTGGTGGCAGATGCTCACTTCCCCGGGGCCTGGATCACAAGAGGTGCTTCCTCAAGGACTCTCCCTAACCTTGTGGTCTGGAGAGAAAAAAAATCCCCCCTTGGGCTTCACACTTTCTGTCTTTACTAGTCTCTTAAGCATTCCAACTGAATTCTTGCTGCAGTCTAGCTGTGTCGGCCAATGCTCACTCCTTGTCTCTCCCGGTGGGCACTTGTTTCTTCTTGGATTTCATTCTAGTTGGTTGTCCTCAGTTCTCCCATGGCTTCAATAAAAGTTGTCAACTTGTCATTTTTCCAGCTTAAAAAAAAAATCTTTGCAGTGGTGGGAGCAATATGCTTTCCAGGTTGCCACATCTAGGACAGAAACTGGAAGACAGAGTTGAGTTACTTTTTTAAAGGAAAAGAAAATATATCATTTTGCTCACTCAGTTTATGGACTGAATAGTAATCATTTTTTTCATATAGTAAATTGCCATTTGGTTCTTTAGTTAAAGTTTTTCTCCATTAAAAAAAATTTGAAGTATGGCTGATTCATAATGTTTCAGGTGTGTATCAGAGTGATTCTGTTATACATACATACATACATACGTGTGTGTGTTTTCTTTTTCAGATTCTTTTCCATTATAGGTTATTACAAGATCTTGAATATAGCTCCCTGTGCTATACAGTAGATCCTTGTTGTTTATCTATTTTATATATACTAGTGTGCGTCTATTAATCCCAAACTCCTAATTTATTCCTCCCTCCCCCTTTCCCCTTTCATTCCATAAGTCTGTTTTCTATGTCTAATGAATCTGTTTCTGTTTAGTAAATAAGTTCATTTGTATCATTTTTTTTAGATTCCAGGTATAAGTGATATCAGAAGATATTTGTCTTTCTTGTCCAATTTTCCTTCACTTAGTATGATCATCTCTAGGTACATCCACGTTGCTGCAAACGGCGTTATCTCACGCTTTTTATGGCTGAGTAATAGTTCATTGTGAATATTTACTACATCTTCTTTATCCGTTCATCTGTCAATGGACATATAGGTTGCTTCCATATCCTGCATCTTGTAAACAGTGCTGCTGAGAACACTGGGGTGTATGTATCTTTTTGAATTAGAGTTTTCTCTGAATATATGTCCAAAAGTGGGATTGCAGGATCACTTAGCAGTTCTAGTCTTTTAAAGACTCTTCATACTGTTTCCAGAGTGGCTCCACCAGTTTACATTCCCACCAACAGTGTAGAACAGTTTGTTCCCTTTTCCTCACACCCTCTCTGGTATTTATTATTTGGCGGTTTGATTCTTATAATCCCATGAGGTAAGTGATTGCTCTTCCCATTTACAGCTGAGGTTTGGAGAGGACTCGGGCAGGCTCGGGGGTTTCCTCTGATCCTGCCTGACTGCCCGGGCACCACTGCTCTCTGCTGCCTTCTGAGATCACGGGGTGTAAGCGTGAGATTGAGGGGGAAGCTGGGGAGGAGGCAGACCACCTGTGTCCTTAGCCAGTGCTCGGACGAGCTTTAAGGTCTGAGCTGGGGAATGACAGAAGTGTTCAGGGTGAGGAGAGAGAATGGCATGGTTTGTAGTGCACTTAGTATGTGGACTAGGGAGGAAGCAGATCTTGGGGAAAAGACCACTGGCTGAAGAAATGCAGAAGGCTTTCTTCTGAGCTTTTCACTGCCCCCACAACAGAGCATGGAGTCCTAACAACTTGAAATCTGGGCTCAGAACCAGGGCAGGGGTGGAGGCTCTCCCAATGTTGGGGAATTTAGGCCTTGGCCCTGTGTGTGGGGATTGTGGGTGGAGGAATGTGTATGGAAAATCCATGATGGGGATGGAGCTACTGGAAACAAGACTGACACTTCTGCTCAGAAGCACTCCCAACCCCAGGACAGAGTATGGGTTTGTAGCACCTTCCTTTAATATAAAAACACACACAATCTTTTTGTGGATTTCCCTAGAAGATTTCGATTACATATTTATCCACACATTCATTCATTTTTTTCTTTCATTTATTCATCAATAAACATTCACTGAAGAAAGTAGGGAAAACCACTAGACCATTCAGGTATGACCTAAATCAAATCCCTTACGACCATACAGTGGAAGTGACAAGTAGATTCAAGAGATTAGATCTGATAGACAGAATGCCTGAAGAACTATGGATGGAGGTTTGTGACATTGTCCAGTAGGCAGTGATCAAGACCATCCCCAAGAAAAAAAATGCTAAAAGGCAAAACAATTGTCTGAGGAGGACTTACAAATAGCTGTGAAAAGAAGAGAAGCAAAAGGCAAAGGAGAAAAGGAAAGATATATGTTTTTTTTTGTTTTGGCTTTTTTTAAATGTTTTGGCTTTTTGGCTGCAAAGCACGTGGGATCTTAGTTTCCCATTGGGGATTGAACTCACACTCCCTGCGTTGGAAGGCAAAGTCTTAACCATGGACCACCAGGGAAGTCCCAAGGCATTTATTTTTGAGAGGGGATTTTATCTTTTTAGAAAGCAGACAGAACCCAATATGCCCTAGACCAAGGCGTGCAATACAATACCTATCTTCTGCAGGCCATATGACCTCTGTCACAGCTAATCCCTCTGCCATTTAAGCATGAAAGTAGCCATAGACAATACACCAAAATCTGGACACAGCATGGCTATGTTCCAATAAAACTTTATTTACAACCCAGGCAGTGAACCAGAAGAGGCCCAGAGCCATAATCTGGCAGCCTGTGCCCCAGGCCAATCCCAGAAGCCTGAGTCTCCCCTGTAGTGGAAACACTTTTCTCCTGCGTTTGCCCAGATGGATGCTCTGGCTCTGCCTGGCCATTCCACAGCCCCCAAAGAAGCCTCCCCCCAGGAGATGCTGCCAAAGTCTGACCACAGCCCTGGGCCGAACTTGTGCTTTTCTGCATCCTGTCCAGGGAGGCCCAGCTCATTCTTGAAGCTCTGTTGCCTGCAGGCTGTCCGGGTGCCAGTGTCCACCCTGGATGCCCACTCTGGACAGTGCCTGTGCTCATCTGACCTCCTTCACGCCTTCTCCCACTGAAACTGATCTATTAGGAGAAGAGGTAACACAGCCACTTCATAAGCCTGAAAGTATCGATCACCCATCATCCACCCACTCACCACTAATCCACTGGAACAAAGCCAGAAGGCGGACCTTCAGGGCCTCTGATGAACCGTGTAGCTCGCGACCTGGAGCGTCTGGACCCAAGGCTGGTGGACCTGACTTGTCTTTAGAGATGGACTTGGGGATGTGCCTGCCTGCAGGAGCAAATCAGAGGTGCTCCTCAGGTTGGAGCCCATTTAATGGTCCAGCCACTGGCATTTTTTTCCCAGTGGAGTTCCTGGTCAATTTCCTAGAGGTCCCCACCCCAGATAGGACACTGACAGCCTCTGTTTGTGTGGCCATAGGGCCACTAGCAAAGGGGTATGTAATTCTGACCATGCTCCTGAAAAGGCTCGTGTGCTCCCTAACCTCTGTATCCCTCAAAGATACCCTTGGCCAGCTTGCAGCAGGCCTCTCTTCCCTCTCCCCCAACACTTCATCACTGCTCCCACTATACCTCTGTCACACAGAACCTCTGCACAAGGCAGAAGGAACCCTGCCAGGCTCCTGTGAGTTGGTGCAGGCACCCCTAGCTTTCATCCAAGGTCCTTCTGGTCTTCTGTCCCCACCATTCCTCCCTGTCACCAGCTTTTCCCTCGCGTTAGTCCCCACTCTAGCTACAGCCAGCTAATTATGACAAAGCTGCTTCCCGTTTGATGTGGAGAGCAGATTTACGGGGGGTGGGGGTCAGGAGGAGTAATTTATTTACTAGAATATCAGGAAGGAGGGGGCAGTTACACAAGAGGTTTTGGGAAACCAAGCTGATTCACATGGCTCAGATAGGATTCATTTCGTCTCATTCCAATGCTTTTAGCTTTCTAAGGCACCGGGGCCTTGGAATGCAGAAGCAATTTCTCTGTATTGCTCTCTGAAGAAATTGCATTGGCAGGAGATGTGAGTTTGATCCCTGAGTCGGGAAGATCACTCCAGCATTCTTGCCTGGAAGATCCCATGGACAGAGGAGCCTGACGGGCTACCGTCCACAGGGCCACAAAGAGTCCGTGGGGCCCCAAAGAGCTGGACATGATTGAAGTGACAGAGCACACACATCAAAGAAGTTAAACCAATAGGCACTTTTATTTTTGCTTCCAGACTTTTAATTTTGCTTCCCTTTAGAGTTTTTTTATTGCTGGGAAGTGAGAATGTTTAACATATGATTGCATTTTGACTTACATCTTCTAGGATTGAGTACATAGAGGGTTCAACCTGGACAAATAATACAAAAATGAATTGTGTGCAGTAACTCAGCAAAGAGGAGTTTGAGAAGCTTTGGGGGATTTGTGTTTATTTGACTTTGGATCTTTGACACAGGAAATACACAGGTGGTCTTAAAAAAATTTTAAGCAAGTTTAGATTATGAAAAAATTGTGAAAATAATATAGATGTCCATATATTGGTCACCCAACTTCCCCTGATGTTAAATTTTACATGACACAAACATTCAAATTATCAAAAGCAGGACATTAACACTGATACAGCTCTATTAACTAAACTATAGATCTTAGTGGCATTTCAAAAGTTCTCCCACTGATGTCCATTTCCCTGTCCAGGATCCAATCCAGAATTCCACACTGTGTTTAGTCTTCACATCTGCTTAGTCTCTTCTGGCTTGTGAAAGTTTGTCAGTTTGAGGGTTTGTCTGATGTTGTCTTGTGAACAGATTGAGATTATGCGTTTTGGCAAGGATACCGCAGAAATGATGTCACGCCTTTCTCGTGCGTCACATCAGGGGCGCATGATGTCAGGATGTGTTATCACTGGTAACGTTAATCCTGGCCACTTGGTTCAGATGGTAAGTTGCTCCGGTATAAACTCACCATTTTTTCCTCTGTAATTAATGAGTACCTTATCTGAAGATAGTTCGAGGCTCTGCAAACGTGTGTTTGTCCTCATACTTTTGCTCACTGATTTTAGCAGCCATCAGCGGTTCTTTTCTTGCTTCTAACAGCTCTGAGTGTGATTTTGCCCAAAGCCAAGCTTCTGTTTGCTTCATTCTCTCTACGTTTATTGACTGGAATTCTGTAGGACAGAACTGTCCCTTCTCCAATATTTTATTTAGTTATTTATTTATAGCAGTATGAACTAAAGGATATTCATTTTATTCCATGGGTTATAATAGATTACTATCATTATTTACATGGTTACTAAACTTCTTCCACCTTTGGTGTTAAGAACAACTTCAGGTTGGCACTTATGTCCTTTGATGTCCGAAATTTTGTTTTTAGTACTTCTTTACTTCCTGGCACCGTAAGATGTTTCAGGCTAATTTTCTATTTTTTTTCAGCCCCATCCCTGGAATCAACCATTTCTGCAATGCATTCTAGTTTCTTTTATTTGAGAATGGTGTTTAGAAACTAAGACCTGGACACCTGGTGTACTCACTGCTAATGAGGTATCTTTTCTCCTAGGGCCTCTCAGCAGACAGACCTAGGAAACCACACACACACATTTCTAAATCCTTCGATGTGTGTGTGTATTTCATTCTAACCTTCCACCTTTCCTTATTTATTACTCTTCTTGAGCAGTAAAAAATCATAAACAAAATGAAAGTGTCTTTCATTATCCACAATAGTTTCACTTCTTTGTTCAATCTTAGTACAGCCATAAAGTAGTTTCAGGATTGCTATCTTATACCCCATGGAAGACAAATTTGCTAGCTAGAGTATAGCATTTGCATATATATATTTGCAACTTTTCCCTAATTTTGTAAAGATTTTTGGTTCTTTGTTCCTTAGGAATTCTTCAAGTATTAGGAGGAATTCCCAGATGGTGCTAGTGGCAAAAAAAAAAACCCACCTGCCAACACTAGAGACATAAGAGACTTGGGTTTGATCCTGGGTCGGGAAGATTCCCTGAAGGAGGGCATACTCCCTCCAGATTTCTTGCTTATAGAATCCAATGGACAGAGGAGCCTGGCAGGCTACGTCCAGGGTCACAAAGAGTCAGACACGACTGAAGTGGCTTAGCACACAGCACACACAGGAATTAGGAACATTGACCTGTTGTCTATAGTATATGGTGCAAATATTTTCTCCCCCTATTAGTTATTTTTACAGCTGTTTCTGATAATTTTTTGCCTTGTGCTTGACTGGGTTTTTTGTTCACTTGATTTGTTTCAATTTAGTCAAATTGATCCATGTTTTCTTTTGTTGTGACTGGGCTTTGAGGCAGAGTTAACTGAGTTAACCTCTTAACTGAGGTTAAGAGGAATTCATCCATGTTTTTTTCCAGTACTTTTATGGTTTAGATTGCTAATCCATTTGGAATTTACTCTCGCATATGGGGTAAGGTATAGATCTAATTTTATCTTTTTCCAGCTGTTTCAGCACCATTTATTAGAAAATATCACCTTTGCTCTAGTAATTTGAGACACTACCTCTCTCATATACTAAATTTCCATGAGTATTTGGGTCTGTTTTATTCTCTTTCACTAGTCTTTTTGTCTGTTCCAGCACCAATACCATGATGTTTTCATTACAGCCACTTTGTGATATGTTTTAATGCCCAGTGGAGCTACTTCCCTCAGGAGTTTTTCTTTTTAACGTTTCCCTGTTTGCTCTTGTATGCTTCTTTTTCTATATGAATTTTACTTCTCAACTTGTCCAATTCCATAGAGAGCTTGTTGGTGTTTTTGTTGTGGTTTCATTAAATTTTAAAAAGTAACAAAAAAGGGAGAACTGACGTAACGTTTATAACGTTGTTATCCTATTCAACAACAACAAATGTCTTTCCATTTGTTAAAGTCTACATTTGTGTTTTTCAAGAGTATCTTTATATTTTCCTCATTTAGATTTTCCATGTTTTTCACTAGAATAAACTTCGTAAAGTTTGTCCCAAAGTATGTCATTCTCCCCAAGCTATTATAAATGAAGTTTCTAGCCTTGCTGTCTGCATACACTCTGCATACTTGACTATCCTGCCTTGTGTCATTCTCTCTATAAAAATGGAGCACCTCAGTAAGATCTCAGTTGTCTCATGAGCAGTGACTTAAATTTGTATTTTCCTCCTCTTGTGTCCCCTACTTATTTGGTTGAGATTTTTGCTATGACTAATTGGTGAAATGACGTGAAACCTGTGTCTGACCCTGAATCTTACTCCATAGACACGTCTTAGAAACAAAAGGGTATTTCCTGTTTATCTTTCCAAATTCATGCCCCTGTTGCTTTAACTGCAGGCAATCAGTCTAGGTGTGGAGACAGCTCTCTTCCTGCCTAACGTGACCAAGCCTTCCGTGACCAAGTCTTCCTAGAAGGGGCTTGGTTATATCCTGATTATATTTTGCTCTCTGCCCATACATCTCTTCCTGGAGTTGAGCCAAAGACCAGAATCTAAATATTCTGAACCTCGCATTTCACTATTTTATCCAGGATCAGCCTGGTAACTATTGAAGTTCACAAGAACCAGAGTCCATAGCCTGTGGGTTAATGACCATCTAGTAAGGCCTCTGGGTCGTGTGGGAACAACCAGTCCTTAACTGACCCTGGCGGCTCCATTGTAGCTACAGAAGTGCTGGGTACACTCAGTAGGTGCTTAACAACTATCTTCTGGATCTCAGATGAATGGATGGCTTTATTGACAAGGGACTGACTAATGGATGGACGGGTGAATATATTTTTAATTTTTTTTATATTTTAATATTTTATATTTACTTATATTTATATATATTTTATATTTTTAAATATTTTTAAATTTCATTAATAGTCCCTTAGGTTAGTAGTGAGTGTTTAGAGTACACGTGTCCACAAGCAATCTTTCTCCTCAAACAACCAATATCCAGACAAGCTACATAGCACAGCCAAAAATGGAGGGTGGGGGGGAGAGCCTTTCGGGAATTCCTTGGCAATCCAGTGGTTAGGACTTGGCACTTTCACTGCCAGTTGCATAACACAGCCAAAACAAAAAAATAAATATTTTTTCTAAAAAAACTTGTTCAAGAAAAGTTAATTAGGAAGTTGCTAATTAAAGCACTGTCATATTCACCATTACCATCATCAGTATCACCTTAAAATTATAATAGAATAGATATTATGTAATGAAACAAGAATCTCAAGGAGAAAAACATTTGGGAATTAATTCAGAATGTGTGATAACATCAATCAACATGCTATCACACTTTCTAAAACTACCACGCATGCACTAAATACACAGATCATTTAGTAGGAGAAAAGGAATTTGATGTTTCCTCAAAATGGATGAGTGTATCTTGGAAATCAAATTAATGGACACAGCAAAATAGCAAAATAAATTTGGTCAACTCTAAATTGTTGGATCCAAAGGAGACAGGAGAGCCTGACCATTTTCAAGTCATAAGTTATCCCCAAGCTTTATTTCAGGCCAGAAACTTACTAACATTTTACAAGAGCACAATTCTGTCCTTGGTCAAAATTTCATACCCCAACCCTTTCCTCTCTCTCCCCTCTCTCTTACTAGCTCTTCCTACCTCCTCTCTCTTCTCCCCAGCTGTTAATCTCTTACTCCAAAAAGAAGCTGACAAACTCATTAGCTTGAAATGTATGTGACTCATACTAGCGTCTGGGCTTATGGCTTCCAAGGAGATTCAAGCTTTAATGGGAGCCAAGAACCATGTTGCTTTTAACATAGTATAGTGTTTTTTGAAAATTAAAGTAAGGTTGATTTACAGTGGTATATTAATTTCATGTGTGTATCACAGAGACTCAATATTTTGATAGATCACCATCTATTTGAAGTTATTACAAAATAATGGCTCTACATAAAAAAGAATGAAATAAGGCTGTTTGCACCAACATGGACGCCACTAGAGATTATCATACTAGGTGAAGGAAGTCAGAAACAGAAAGACAAACATCGTATGATGTCACTTATACGTAGAATCTAAACTATGACACAAATGAACCTATCTATGAAACAGAAACAGAATCATGGACACAGAAAACAGACGGGTGGTTGTCAAGGGAGGGAGTTGGAGGGGTGAGGGATGAGTGGTCAGTTGGGTTTAGCAGGTATAAGCTTCTATACATAGGATGGATAAATAAGGTCCTACTACATAGCACAGAGAACTGTATTCAATCCCCTATCATAAACCATCATGGAAAAGAATATGTATATGACTGAGTCACTTTGCTGTACAGAAGAAATTTATAAAATTATAAATTAACTATACTTGGATTTCTTTAAATTGACAAAAATAATGACTCTATTACCCCATGCTGCACAATATATTCTTGTCGCTAAGAACCACATTTGTAAGTGAGAATTTTCAAAGTATATCAAGTCAGGAAGGAGACCCACATTGGGGGTACACTTTACCCTGCATCTTTGAAACCATTCCTCCCAACTCACAGTCTTCTCTGGGGTTCCCAGCCTCCCAGGGGGAGCAGCACGAGCCAGGACCTGAGACCAAGCTGCCCCAGTGTCCTGCCCTGGAGTCTGGCAGGCAGTGGTTTCTGATCTTTAACCTACTTGCTCCAGTGCCTAGGGATCTAGGTTCCAATCAGACCATCCTCCTCCACGCTGTAAAGCTTTCGGGAAAGACAACAAACCTTTGATTTGAGAAGTGGCTCTTGGCAAGAGCTATCAGGTCTTACCTCTGCCCAGGGCTAATCATCAAGAAGTGGACAGTACATCAAAATGAACACGAGACCCACCCACCCATCTGGGTTACTGGTACTTACTCTTTTCCAAACATTTCTCCATCATGTCCTCACTTGCTCCTAACTGCCGTAAGACAAGTATCATAAGTCCCAGCATAGAGAAGAACACTGGCCCAGAGAGGTTATATAACTAGCTTTAAATAGCACATCGTAGACTCTG